GTCTAGATTATCCTATACCGCACTCCCCCAAATTAAAGTTGACTTACTTTTTGTAATAGTGAGCTTGATATTGACACAAAAAATTATTATCGTGATCACCATTATAGGTTTACTTGAGCAACCCCGCCTTGAATATGTTCTGACTATATTGAAGATTAAAGAGCACAGCATAGTATGTGAAGCTATTTGTTATTCTTGTACATACATGAATAGAAATACACCTAAACTAAATCAGATTCATGAATAGAGTAGATTTCAATACGTAAGTGTGTGCTGGAGACAATGTGTTGAATAAAGCCTGTTTGAAATTCAGCCTCGACTTACTCTTGAGTGCTCTATGTCTTGGAAATCAACATCATTCACTGAAAGAACCTGGTCTCCCTCCTGTAGCCCTGCTCTGTGGGCGTCTGAATCTGGGACCACCTGCCAGCACACAGAAATGATTTAAATTGATTAAAAATAGGCAAACAAATAGTCAGCAGCACAGCAAGAAAAAAAAAACCCACATTAATAACCAGGGCTGTGCACGCACCTTGGATATAAAGATCCCTAACTGTGAAGCTTTCCCACCACGGATATTGAAGCCCAGCTGCGCTCCTGGAGGCTTCTTCAACACAATGGTGCGAGGCAGAAACTGTGTGAGCTCATTGTTATAGTCAGGATGATGAACCCGCTAAAAATGAACCAAGAGAAGAAGAACAGCCAGCAATATTTAGCTTCTTTAAGTTTGCTTCTTCTGCCTTAAAAACAATGTGATAAGAGTCAAGCATCATATTCAACATATTCAGCATGACCTGTTTGGAAAATAAGCAGATCAGCAACAACAACAAAAAAGGTATTTCCTTTGGGATAATAAAATCTAAATAAAAACATTCACAAAAAATATCCACCCATTTGCTTTCTGTAGCACATTTAATAATATTGCACAGTCCTGACCTTTGCAGTCAGGCGCAAACACCTCTTTGCTTGTCAGATTTCCAAACGCATATAAGACAGGCTTCATGAACTCACTGAAACCCAAACACTAACTGAAAAAAAGAAGTTAAAGGCGCCAACTACGAAACCATGACAGACAGAAAAGCCTCAAGGAGACAAGGACTGTGCATGCACCTGCAGGTTACAACCTGTATGTGACCACCTATCACATTAAATTAGGCAGCCCCATTCCTTGGCCTGGAAGATGCCATTAAAAGCTACAAAAAGCAGTAGCAAGAAAAAAAACTCCAAGAATCTTTGTGACTCTCAGATAAACTTAATAGTATTCAGTAAAATTACCAGTAGATATTTTAGGTACAGCGCTGTGAAAAAGTATTTGCCACTTCCTGATTTCTTTTTCCCCCCATAATTGTGACACCTTCATATTTTAGAACATGAAACAATTTTTAACATGCAACAGCTACTGAAAGATAACCCAAGCACAAAATGCATATCTGATTATGATGTCATATATCAAAAAGGCCCTGTGTGAAAAAGTAGATACCTCCTAAACCCAATAACTGGTTGTGCCACCCCTGGCAGCAAGAAGTGCAATTAAGTGTTTACGATAACTGGCAATGGGTCTTTCACATTACTGTAAAGGAACTTTGACTCACTCTTGCACTCTTTGTGGACCACTCAGAGTTAGACTTGCTGGAGTGTTTCATCATCTTACTAAATAACCCAAGTTTGCTCTAGCAGGGACACAGACTAATGGCTGTTCATTCTCTCAGGGTTCTCTGGTGGAGAGAAGAATTCATGGTTCTATCAATTACAGTACATCGTTTAGCTCCTGAAGCAGCAAAGCAGCCTCAGACATTTACACTACCACCACTATGTTTGACTGTTGGTATGATGTGCTTTTTATGAAATGATTTGCTAGTTTATG